AACACAAAATGTACTATCTTGCATAAAATACTAACACAAAATGTACTATCTTGCATAAAATACTAACACAAAATGTACTATCTTGCATAAAATACTAACACAAAATGTACTATCTTGCATAAAATACTAACACAAAATGTACTATCTTGCATAAAATACTAACACAAAATGTACTATCTTGCATAAAATACTAACACAAAATGTACTATCTTGCATAAAATACTAACACAAAATGTACTATCTTGCATAAAATACTAACACAAAATGTACTATCTTGCATAAAATACTAACACAAAATGTACTATCTTGCATAAAATAATAACACAAAATGTACTATAAAATACAATTAAACTAACACAAAATGTAACACTAAGGGAAAAATATGACGAAATAATAAAATCAATTTGAAATCAAAAAATAATTTCTGAGCAAAAATAAATAAATAAATTAAAAAAAAAACAAGTGTGGAAGGGTGCATTCTGCATGAAGTGTGGTAGCCACAAAACCATCCCGACTATCCCAGATTGCCTACAAATTAATAAAAATACGTACCATTATGCAGTAAGTTTTCAAGAATCATAAGTTTCTAAAACTYTGACTTGGCAGCAAGTCTAACCTCAAGAGCTTTTAGACTACTAGTAGTAAATTATACTAAAAAGATTTGCTGAAATTTGTGATAAAATTTGGTGCATTTTCATGAACTTCCTAAAAAAACTTTGATTGGTGTTGAAATTCCATCAAGACAATTCATATTCCTGATAATTACCAAGCTTGTGTCTTTTGATATGAAATCTCTGTTCACTAGACTCCCAATACAKATGGCTAATGRTACTAAACTTCCTATGCCAGCATGTAAGATTATGGCTCTCTTAAAGTTATAMATTTTCTTCCAGTTTAATGATAAGCATTACAAACAGCTTTACGGCACAGCCGTAGYTGTCACAGAGATCGTCATGCAAAAGAAAGAGAAAGAAGCCCTGCATTACCATTCTGGTTTCGATATGTAGATGATACCATAACAGCCTTACTGGAAGAAAAAGAAGGGCTAACCTGACCGTTTCCTCACTTGACTTTGAAAATGATTACTGCACACAGGTGGTCGAAATGTCAGTCACATATCAAACAGTCCCTCTCAGAACTACATCCACCCAGATGATCATAATGTACATGTTACTAATCAATAAACAAAACTTTGATTGTTTGTTCACATATTCCYGAGGTATCAACCTGTTTCAAAAATGTTGACAGATGAAATGGCAAATGGCAAGTGTCAAAAGGAGATTGCACGACCAAAGAAGCCATTAATAATAATCATTTTAATACACTGTATATAATTGTCTCCAACCCAATTGAAATTTTTGTATGTCAAACAGTCTAACCCCAGTCACCCTCATTCATGATATCTCTGTTAAACAATCAACAATCTTCCTAACAAAGTTTTTTGAAATAGGTGTTATTGTATGCACATGACAGTATGGAAGGTGTACTCCATTAACAACAACAACAACAACAAATTTTGTTTATAAATACCAATTTAAATCAATTTCTAATTTAGTACGATAGATAAGGTTCAAMTCGTCTACCTTTTTGCTTCTTCAAATATATCTTGTGCTATGTCACTGTTCTTGTTGGATCTTGATGGACCAAGTATTTGCTGTCCACTGAAAGTATACAATATCTCAATCAAGACAACTGTATAATAAAACATAAAAATTTTGTAGTACTTGAAATGTTACTGTGATTGAGTGCTGCATGATAATGTGCTCAGTTCATTATTACCTTGAGCCAATATACCTAAAAACCAAGGCAACAAGTTTTGCAGCAGCCCTTAATGAACAATATTCAAGAGCCAAATGTGTCTAAATCATGACTTTTTTACCAACAAAAACTGTCTTAGTTCCTAACATTGCAAAAAAGATATAAGCAAAATCAAAAGGACAATTTTTGGGGTGTTGCTGCCAAATTATGCCTCACTTTGGTGCAAAATCACAGGCCACTCACAAAATTTGTTTTCTAATGGTATAAAAATGGCCATTACTTCTCCATACTGCCCGACTTAATACAATCAATAAGTRTTTTATCATGACCCTATCAAAAGAGCCACAAAAAATATTGTGGRCATATCAAGACATAAGCTACCCACCCATTGCATGATTGATTTTAAAATACAATTATTTTTGCATGGGCRTGCAGAGATATGGATTTTGTCTTTGAGAGTTGAAAATATCTCTCACGAGAGAGCGTAGCAAAAATAACATTTTATTAGTGAAAACAACATCTTTATGTAATGGAGAAATATAGGTATTTTATAGGTAATTACTCGTGCCCTGTCCTAGGGCCTGATCACAAGTCGCATGATCAGTTTGCCCTATTTATCTCTGAACATATTTGTACGGCAATTTCTCCAAGAATTTTAACGGATTTGAGTTTCAAATCAGTGTTTGGAGTTTTTGAAGCCGTTTAAAACACTCAAGATCGCGTTTTAAACTATACTTTAAATTACTACAATTAGAAGAAGTCTATCCATWTTTACTTTGTTTCACTTGAAAGACTATCAGAGTGAACGATTTGAGTCATGTCTGCATTGCCATGCAATGTATACCGTGTCTAAGCTTTTAAAGATTTGTCAAAAATTATTGTATATCTAGTTCCTTCAAAAGCTGCTAAATATTACATGAAAAGTAATCAACAAGGAGTTACTTTCACAAATTTTACTCTTAATTAGTTTGATTTCAAATCACTTCAATCAGTTCCTATAGATGAACTGAATGCCTTTGGTAGACTATTTACATCTAAACCAGACCCTCTTAGAGCGTCAACTCGGGCGAGCTATTTTTGAAAATTAAGAAAGACAGTATGTTATTATTACATGGTTGGTCATAAAGGCGAACAAAAGAAAAGTTTGAAATGAGCTCAATTTGAAAAAGAACTGAATAAGCCAGCACTTTTCAACACCTTTAGGGCACAAGTACACCCTGCTGTCAGGCTCTAGTTATAAGATAATTACATGTTTGTGGATTACTAGTGTGTGTTACTACATGGATGAAAACTAGTCAGTGACAAGAGTCAATTTTGTATGAGTGGGAAACATACTGTCTGTAGAAATTACCGCACGGTTACCGCACAGTTACCGGACCTGGCCTGCACAATTTTTGTGTTCAAAGCAATGGGGCACTAGAATTTGATTACGGTTACAGTACAGTACCGTCYGTTTCCCACTCATACGAAATTGACTCTATGAGACAATGGTCATGTGACTGATTGATGAACAGTGCTATCTTAGTGTGTTTTTGATATTCATTGTATTTATTATCAATACATTTATTATCAATACATTAATAAGATGCAACAAAAATACARAAAATAATATTTTATAAAATTAAGCACACAAGGAGAGGCCAACCATGTAAAAGCAAAAAAAAAGGCTCACTATCAACTTCCACTTGGCTTTTACACTGTTTTTTTACCTTGTGTCTGAGCCGCCAGCATAGAATGCCTGTCCTTGTTCTTCATCACTGTCATTCTCATGTTCTCTTGCCTTATATGATGCCATAGTAGCAATTCTGGAGCTTGATCTGACATTATGACTTGTCTAGATGAAATTGTTTACACACATTGTTGGAAATCTTTGTATTAGTGTTCAGTTTTTCCTGTATATAATATAATTATAAAAACTGAACTCTAATACTTTTTGTRCTGGACATTTTTGTTTCTTGTAATTCTTTTGAACATAATTGAAAGAAAATGTGGGTAATTTGGAGATTTCACAATTTTACATAAAATCATGTGTTGTAATAAACATATAAGATTGTAAATTGATCACTTGTCAAATGATTGGCATGGGAATAGCAACAACACTTCCATCAATGACTACAAAGTTTTGAAGTTTGTTTGACAAAAAAAATTTAAATGACAAAAAAATAATTAAAAAAATTAGGTTCTCAATTGAGTTCAGTTGCTAATAGGTACATACAATTGAAGGGCTGTATGCGAAAACAGCGTTAAGTGACGATTTAGGGTATTTTTGAAACTTTTGCAAAATGGAAAAAAAATACCTTCAGTCATTTGTTTCTGGTCTAAATAAACATGTTTGCTAGTTATTTCCCGTGATTTCCTTTAAAAAAAAGGTGACATTTAGTTACRGACTGTGCTCTCCCCTCCTCCCAAACTTTAGCTTAGGGTTAGTTTTCAGCCTTATGCAAAGGTTAGGGTTCCTATAACCTAAGACAGGGGCTAGGGTTCCTTGATTAAGGGTTAGGGTTAGAAGGGTTAGGTGCTGGGGATAGTATAGGGTTAACGTTAAGGTTCGGTTAGGCTCTACAATCTGAGTTTTAAAAGCAAACAACCCCCCTCCCCCCCCCCCCCCCCCCCCCCCCCCCCCCAAGTCCAAACTTTGAAGTTTGTATAAAATCACTTATCAATATCATGGATGACTGAGCTACTCATTTTGACATTGAAAATCTATTTAAGGAGCTCCATAGAGTATTACTGAAAACGGAGATTTTCCAGATATTTTGCCTTTTTTGTACATAAGACAGCTCTCAAAATTCATAAAGTAGCTATTTCTTTAATGACTAATAGTTGGAGAATAATTTTACATAAAAATATCTGGGTAGAATGTTGTCATGGAAACAGTACGACCACTACAACAAGGCCCTTATTTGACATTTGAAAAATGATAATTCAGAATTGACAGTTGAAGTCACAAAAATTAAGCGATAAAAAGAGCAGTTTTGACACTGATTCTCGTCTACAGTGAAAAAAAAGCACTATTTTGTTGTCTTTTTTTGCTACATAATTCTAGATTTCAACAAGTGAATTACTGTTTGTACCAAAATTCAGTCCTACGTCTGTCATTTAAGCGTTTTATTTTTCACATTTTCCATAAAGATCTCATGCTACAGCTTTCTCTTTGGACACTGATTCAGAACGTGTTTAACCAGATTTTTGTGCACAATGACTTCTGGGAAAAGACTACCTACTGCAGCAGCAACATTTCCATCAAGTCTAAAATAGAAATTTATATAGAGTCTACAGCCTTCTCAAAATTCTGCCAAAATTTCAAGACGCTTGTGTTCCTCAATAGCCAAAACATCCAAAAATTACYGTGGCAGCTCCAAGGATTTGCTTTTAGACAGTCTTTTACATGTATTAAGTGATTCTCTTTAAGCAAAGGTCCAAGTTAATTGAATCAACTGCGGAAACAAAATCGCTTAAAAAGTCACACACCAAGCTGGATTCTTTCAGCAAGTAAGCTCCTTCGCTACCTACAAACTTAATGATGTCCGTAGAGTGGTGACTAAAGGCAAAAAGGCTGAAAAAAAAAACGAGTGTCTAAACGTCAGACAGCCTGGCGTTTAGTCCCAGAACTAAACATCAGGCAGTCAAATTCTGTTTTTTGAAAAATCTTCGGAACGACTGTAATTATTTCAATTAATTCAACAAGAGAAATGCAATAAAGACTGAAATAATACTGTTCATCAAGTTCGTATACACAAGCACGCGTCACTTTGAGATTTTTCGACTGCCTGACACGTCTCAGAACTAAATGTCAGGCAGTCAATTTTTTTTGAAAAATACAGACATACCAGAGTTGCAGAAAGGAAATTTTCTGAGACAGACCATCCCATTTTAACCATTACCACAACAATTTATCATTGTCCCAAAGTGCCAACCAGTGAAAGATGGTGCAGGGCCTACAATTAGCATTATTTCTTCATTTTGAAGGGATAATCATTATGATTAGGATATTTGAAAGTCAGTTAATAATTATAATAATAATTGGTTCACAGTATAAACAGATCAAAAAAAGTGTTTTATTTGGTTAAATAGCCATAACAACAAAGACAAATAACAAAGTATATCAAATATATAATGTGAACAATACTTAGAATAGATGCATCAAATGTCCTAATCAACTGCCTATCAAATATCTTAATCCTTATCCCTTTAAAATGAAGAAAAAATGGTCTGATTAAAGGCCCTGCACCATTCACTGGGGCAATGATAAATTGTTCTGGTAATGGTTGAAGGGGGACGAAAGGTTAGAAAATTTCACTTCCCTACTATGTTTGGTCACCCTATTCCCAGTACCCACTTTTCAATTTCCACCTCCCCTCCCCCTGCTAATTTTTGACAAGGCCCTTATTTCGGTCTTTATTCCATTTCTCTTGTGCTATTAATTGAAATTACAGTTGTTTCGATGACTCTTCACAAGTCCCAGAACTAAACATCAGGCACTAGTCGAAAAATCTCAAAGTGCCGGGCTTGTGACCAGGGCTTGTGACTATWCAAACTTGTCGAACAGTATTATTTTGTCCTTAGTATTGCATTTCCCTTGTTGTATTAACTGAAATTATGGTTTGTTCTGACAATTTTTCAAAAAAAACATCGACTGCCTGACATTTGGTTCTGGGACTAAATCTAGTAGAAAAGTAGAATGACTACTGCACTAAAATTCACGTACCTGTTTTTACAAGTCTGCGAAACTAAAACTCAATACATGTACTTGTATTTAAAAGAAAGAAATGTTGATGATAGAAAAAGGCAAAAGAATCCTTCTTTATTGAATAAGTGTATAAATAAGATTCT